CTTTCTCATATCCCAGTTCTTTCCTTTGGATTGTTCTTTCCCTTGCACAATATCTACTGTACCTTTTGGATGTTATTTACTCTTAGTTTCTTACACTAGGGACACAATACGATGTTTACACGTAGAAGTCTTGTGAATCATTTATTTCTATAGAATGAAAGCTGTAGTTTTATGAAAAAGGTAGAGAATCTGCATGAAACAAAGCATTCTTGTAATGTAATCTCTGGTTCCTTGTTAGAAGGCTGAACTTGTTCAGAAACAAGTTAAATTCGTCAAAATCATAAAACCCAAACTGGAGACAACTCTTTACTGCACCTGAGAACACTGAGACTTTAAGGAACAAATAGTCTCATTATGTCAGGTGAAATTCTGTATCCACTGACAAAGTTAAGGAGGAAAATGAATATTTCTGTTTCCTGTAACATCTGTAGGTAACCTGATAATAATAAAATTTTGAAAAGCTTTTATTTCCAAATATGAAAATTCACAATAACAACAATAGCACTGTAACCTAGTATCCCACTGGCTTGCTGTGGTTTGGACATGCTACGGGTGTGTCACCCAAATATTCATGTGAGCAGACTCGATCCCCAGCTTGGCCCAGTTAAAATGGTGGCAGGTTTAATTAAGAAGTGTAAGGTTATTAAATTATTGGACGCTCCATGCTTGGAACACATTACTGCAGTTCTCAAGGATTAGTTCCCGTGAGGCCAAGTCTTTGCAAGTAGGGCAAGTCCGATCTCGAACCTCTTCTGCTCGCTAGCTCCTTACCACGTGACTGTTCTCTCTCTCTCTGCCTGTGCCTCTGCCATGTTTCTATCAGCCATGCTGGAGGGCGAGAGAGGGCCCTGTGTGGCCGCCTGCTCTCAGACTTCAGACTCCAGAACCAAGCTAAGTAAATCACTAAGGAGACTGAGAGATCGCTTTCGTTAGGACAAATTTCTACTTCTGATCAATTTCTTTCAAAATTTTATTTTTTTTATTTATCTTGTCCTTTAGGTCACACTGGACTAAACA